AGTAGAGATGGGGTCTTGCTCTTGCTCAGACTGGTCTCAAACTCCTGAGCTCAGATGATCCGCCTGCTTTGGCCTCCCGGAGTGCTAGGATTATAAGCCAGAGCCACCATGCCTGGCCTTTTTAATGTTAATGTTTCCTTTAACAGGTCCAATTTATTTGATTTTGGTTTATGTTGACACATGATTCATGATTATTAAAATTTTTCGTTATTTAGGAAATGATTTTTAAGATATCTTTAGGGTGGACACCTATAGTACTTAACATTTTAGTCAGGTTATACCTTTGAATTGGCTTCATGTATTTTTAAGCACTTTTTTACAAAGATCAAAAACACATTTATAAATGCATTAACCTTCCCATCTATATAAGTGGTGCAGATACTTATGGCATTAGTACCACATTTTGGTTTTTGAACCCCCTCTCCCCAATTTCCTTCTCTCCTCTTTTTCTTCTTTTCCTCCTCTGTTTACTTTCATTGCAAGTTTTCTTCAGAGTACCTCTTCCTAGCCTAAAGTTTGTAACTGAAAGAATTAAGTACGTACAGATCTTACTTAACCTACTCTTATTTAACCTATTCAGTAGGTAGCATTCAGACGCAAGGAAGTGGCTGGAGTAAGGAATTCTAGTCATGCCTTTTTAAAATTAGGTAGTAAGATACATAGAAAAATTAGAAATGTCTCTCCTGCCTTTCTCTATTAAGTTTACCTTTGAGAAATTTAAAGAGTAGAGGGGCAGGGGAATGGAACAAACGAACAGAACTTCTGCTGGAATATTGTGACAGATTTACTGACAAATATTTTCTAACAGATTTTTACCAACAGGCAGTTTTTGTTTTCTTTACTGACAGACCATAAATATACTTCTGGTTGGCAGCAGCTGCATCATTACAACATTAAAAAGCAACCTTGGCTAACTTCATTCAGTACCTTATGTAGCATAAGAAATAAAGAATATCTTGAATTTAAAAGACTTTTTATATGTTAACTTTACTGATGATAAACTATTTTCAATGCAGGAAATAAATCTTTCCCCAAAGAGAAATTCACCACCAATTATTTCTTCCTTTTAGACTTAATAATTTGGGGTAGATTTGTGTTTTTGCTCATTCTTTTATCTGCTGGCAACTGTTTTTAGACCTCTGTGTAAGGCAGATTCTGATGACCTTGGGAAAGTCACAGGACTTGAGTTTCTTCAATGGTAGAAGCAAAGGCAATGGTTTCTACCGTCCTTTTTCCTTCACCATTGACTGTCAATGCCCTGATGAGAAACACATCGAAAGCCCCGTGTAGTGTACCCCCAAACTTGTGCAATTTCTAGAAGTCTCAAAAAACATTTAATATATTTAAGGCAGTATAATAAAAGCAGGTGGACTATAGTTCCTAAAGTTGGGCAGATAGTGGTGTCATCGGGGGTCTTTTGGACCACTCTAAACCCCACCGCAAGTCTTGACACCTTGCTCAACTTCCACTGAAGAACGGACTGAATCAAGGGCTTTCGTCCCTGTATCATGTCAACGGAGAAATGGACTCCTCTTCTTGCTCCCATGGAGTTTTGCCTTATGGGTGAGTGTGGCACCAGGTCTTGGGCAGGTGATGTCTGTAGTTGGCGAGTGATCCCCCGCCAGAAAACTGGATGCACACAGAGGAGCATGCATACAAGCAAGCATGTCACTGCGAATGAGCTTGGGAGCATATTTTCCTCCCTTTCATTCTTTAATGCTCAGAGACCATAGGCGGATTTATGGAGAAGCATTCAGTGCCCATGCCATGTTTTGCAACGGCTAACACAGAAGGTTTCTTTGCAGTATTGTGGTATGCTCAGAGTTACGACCAGAAACCGGAACACAAGGAAAGGGTTAGAAAGCAGAGGAAGTTCGGGGACGACGGTGCTCTGGGCTGCATGGCAGCAGCTTCTAAGGCGTAGAGGATGTGGTGGAGGAGAAGCAGAACACGGAGAAAGGGGAAAGCTGAAGAAAATACTCACGCCAATGGGTAAAAGGGAAAAGGTGAGAAGGAATGGAGTAGGAGAGGGAACCAATAGGTGGGAGAGGCGGAGGAAGAAGGGGGAGGGGCAAAAGCCAATGGGGGAGCGGGGGAAAGCAGGGAGCGGGGACGCGAGCGAGGACGCGGCCTCGCGCGCTCGCTCCCCTCCCTCAGGCTTGATCGCTCGCGCCTTCCCAGGCTCCCGGGAGACGAGGGCAGGGGCGGGGCCGTGCCGGGAGCGCGGCGCGGGAGGCGTCGCGAGGTGAGGGCGGCGGGGGCGGGAGATTGTGGGGCTGGCGGCGCGGGCGCGCGAGTGCGCGCGCGCGGCCAGTCCAGGCTGCGCCGCCGCTCCGCCCCCGGTCGGGTGTGTGGCTACGCGCGCGCGCGTGCGTTCCGGCGGTGCGCGCTGGGAGAGATGCTGAGGTAAAGTTCGGGAGAGAGGGAGAGATCCGTCAGCGAGAGGGAGCCCGAGTGGCCGCCATTACTGAGCCCGGCACGGCAGCGGGCGCAGGGGAAGGGGGGAGGGACGGGGCCGCCTCTGGTGGCGGGGAGGGTGGGTGGGTTACCAGGCAGCGGGAGCTGTAGGGCTAGGGTTTTGGGGCGTGTGAGTTGCGGGGGGGTGGGGGAAGGTGGCTGAAGGGACGCGGCACTCGGTGAGCGCGCCGGGGAAGAGAGGCGAGCAGAGAGTGGAGGAGGAGGTGGCGGCGGCGGGAGCGCTCCCCAGGAATGTCGCTGCCGTCGCCACCGCCGGGGCCACTGCCGTTGAGGAGGAGACAGAGGAGACCGACGTTGTTAGGTAGGACCTTGCGGCCCCCTGCTCCTCCGGCCTGCCCGCCCCCTCCCCGCCCGGACAGGGACCCTCCCGCCGCCGGCTGCCCCGCTCGGTCGCCGCCGCCGGTTGTAACCAGTTGAAGGGGCTGGGGCCCCGCGGCCACCGAGGGGAGCCTGGCGCCGCACTCCGTCCTCGCAGGCCGGGCGGGGAGCAGCTGCTGCGGGGGGATACGGTCGGCGTGAAGGGCAGAGAGGCCGGGGGAGGGGGTGCTTTCTCCACAGGTGACGGGGCTGGGGTCGGCGGAGGCCTGGTGGTGGCCTGGGATCGCGCCGGCCGCGCCAGGCTTCCGCTCTCACTCGCCGCCCTCACTTGCCCGGGTCTCGGGTGGTACGTGGGGAAGGAAGGTGGCGGTGTCTCTTGGCCGGGTTGCTGCTGTTAACGAGTTCCACCTGGAAGGGGGAGAGAGGGCGGGCGCGGATTCTGGGAAACATAATCTCGGTTGCAAACTTAAACGCGTTTCAGGGGGATCGGCCCTTTTCACTTTTTCCTTATCTCCCGGACTCCTCCCTGGGTTCTCTTAACCAATTTTCCATCTGCTGCTAAAGCTTGGGGTAAGGTATGAGAAGTTGCACTGCGCAACCAAAATACAGAGTCCTACCGGTTGACTGCGAGTGGGTTGAGGCTTTGATACTGAGTTTTCGCTAGAATAACCTCTAGATTCTTCCTCTGTTTCCACTAAAGAAAAGTATCGGGGTGGGGGTGGGGAACCGCGCGGGAGCGCGCGCGCACTTATCCACACACAAATACACTCACTGCCTCGCACCCTCCCTCTGCAGCGTTGTTAGAAATGCAAGGGAAGTGGAGGCTCAGGGTGTAGCTGAGGCTGAAAGGTGATCGGAAGTAAGGGCAAACTATTTAGGACGTCTAGTAAAATTCCGAGAAAGTTGTAGGGGAGACGCTTATACTTCTACCACATAATAGAAATCCGGCTTTGCCAATGTTTAGTAAATGGGAATTTAAATGTTTTAAAGCAGACCAAGATAGGCATACAGATGGGTTTGTGCACGCGTTTTTAAGTTTAAATTCCCGTCAATAATTTGCTTTTCCTTTGTGATAGGTAGGAAACGAGGACAACATTTTATTAATAAAAAATGTTCAGGTGTAAAACAGTGCGTCGCTGTATTTACTAGTCCTCGCTTATGCTGCCTTCTACAGGTGTTGTGGGGGAGGGGGGAGTGTTGCCAGTTCCACTTAAATCCAAAACCAACATTCACTTTGAACAGAATGTTAGAGGATGTTTATCTGTAATGGGTATCTCATTCATTTCATGGAAGATTTCGTTAAATCACCATTTGAAATGGTTCTAACAAAAATGAATCTAGATGGAACTGTTTGAAATTCGGGATAATATTTGGTTGAAATATATATTAATAAAATGTGTTTGGAAATGTTTACTGGCAATTCCAGTTTATTTGTACTTTAATATGATAAAATTGTACTCTTATTCAGTATTTTTAGATAAATATACTGTGTAGGTAATCTGGGCAGTTTCCAGAATAAGGTTTTGCTTTCAATTTAAATTCCTTTCTCATTCTCTTTCACGTATACTTTGTAATTGACCCCATTTCTTGTATCTGTGGTGCATAAAGCAGAGGGAGAGAGTGGATAAGCGTGGGTCACCAAAAACTTGGAAAGGCAAATTATGACTAAACAGTGCAATGAAAGGCTGGGCACACCTATGCTTTTAACTTTCAAGAAATAGCACTGTTGATCTGATTGACTTAAAGCAGAATCAGTCAGACGGTACAGATGATTAGATAACTATCGATTTGGTTGTCTTGTGTAGGCTACATTTTTTAACCTAGGTCAGCATGTCTTACTTTACCATTCTTTGTACATTAATTACTAAGAGCATTGGGGAGTGGGGTGTTACACTTGGATATAAGAATTGTCACAGAATTCTTTTATTTTTTATCAACTTTTTAGTGTCCCTCCCCCCATTTAAAGTACTTTAGCAATTTTAAAAATGTATTGCAAAGTTAATTTCTGAATTCCTTTATGTGGTTCTTATCCTAAATGTTTTGAAAATCATTTCCCCTTCCTTTTTTTGTTTGAAAGAGAGATTTAGTACAGTGATTGTTTTGGAGAAAATGAATTATTTTGATCTTGAAGGTTAAGATTTTTTTTAGGGGATAAGATACTGTATTTGCATTCCTTTTTTGGATTTGAGGTTATGATTCAGTTAAAATAATAGCTTTGTAACTCACTTTTTTAATTGAAGAAAAAGTTATGTCTTGTGAAGACTGTACTAAATTTTTTCAACATTAACAGGACGTAAGGTAAGTTTTGGCCTTTAGTATTCATTTCTTAAATATGAAATGGCATTATAGAGATTTTCTTGGTAGCTAGCTACACAATAAGTTTTGTCACAACTGCAGTTTCCACAGATACTATTTTAAGAACTCTTTGGGCTGTAAAATCCTTAGTTTTTTGTTTGCACATCAAGAAGGTATGGAATAGTATAACTGACTCAGGAAGCATTGTATAGTGTTCTGTTTTAGTTATGCCTGTATTCCTAAAAGATGTTTGTAATATACTTTTTTTTTTTTTTTTTTGAGACAGAGTCTCACTCTTTTGCCCAGGCTAGAGTGAGTGCGGTGGCGTCAGCCTAGCTCATAGCAACCTCACACTCCTGGGCTCAAGCAGTCCTTCTGCCTCAGCTTCCCGAGTAGCTGGGACTATAGGCATGCGCCACCATGCCCGGCTAGTTTTTTTCTGTATATTTTTAGTTGTCCGACTAATTTCTTTCTATTTTTAGTAGAGATGGGGTCTTGCTCTTGCTCAGACTGGTCTCAAACTCCTGAGCTCAGATGATCCGCCTGCTTTGGCCTCCCGGAGTGCTAGGATTATAAGCCAGAGCCACCATGCCTGGCCTTTTTAATGTTAATGTTTCCTTTAACAGGTCCAATTTATTTGATTTTGGTTTATGTTGACACATGATTCATGATTATTAAAATTTTTCGTTATTTAGGAAATGATTTTTAAGATATCTTTAGGGTGGACACCTATAGTACTTAACATTTTAGTCAGGTTATACCTTTGAATTGGCTTCATGTATTTTTAAGCACTTTTTTACAAAGATCAAAAACACATTTATAAATGCATTAACCTTCCCATCTATATAAGTGGTGCAGATACTTATGGCATTAGTACCACATTTTGGTTTTTGAACCCCCTCTCCCCAATTTCCTTCTCTCCTCTTTTTCTTCTTTTCCTCCTCTGTTTACTTTCATTGCAAGTTTTCTTCAGAGTACCTCTTCCTAGCCTAAAGTTTGTAACTGAAAGAATTAAGTACGTACAGATCTTACTTAACCTACTCTTATTTAACCTATTCAGTAGGTAGCATTCAGACGCAAGGAAGTGGCTGGAGTAAGGAATTCTAGTCATGCCTTTTTAAAATTAGGTAGTAAGATACATAGAAAAATTAGAAATGTCTCTCCTGCCTTTCTCTATTAAGTTTACCTTTGAGAAATTTAAAGAGTAGAGGGGCAGGGGAATGGAACAAACGAACAGAACTTCTGCTGGAATATTGTGACAGATTTACTGACAAATATTTTCTAACAGATTTTTACCAACAGGCAGTTTTTGTTTTCTTTACTGACAGACCATAAATATACTTCTGGTTGGCAG